TTCCCCCTAGGCTCACAGTTTCTTCTAATTCTTCTACTTCTGGTTTTCATATAGTGTGCAACCTTAAAAAGTCTTTGTATGGCCTAAAACAGGCCTCCAGACAATGGTTTGCCAAATTATCTGCTGCATTTATGTCAAGAGGTTACACATCCAGTCTAAATGATTATTCCCTCTTTACCAAGTCCACTTCTACTTCTACTATTATCATAACTGTGTATGTAGATGATATTCTGTTGGCTAGTGATGATGCTTCTGAAATGGATTCTCTCAAATCCTTCCTGGATCTCCAATTCAAAATCAAAGACTTGGGTAATGTCCACTATTTTCTAGGCCTGGAAATCTCCAGATTGCCTCAGGTTTTTCTTGTGAGTCAACATAAATTTACAAAGAATTTGTTGGCTGAGTTTCACTGTTCTTCTGCTTCTCCAGTTGTGGCACCTTTGGAGGTGCATCTTAAACTCACTCCTGACTCTGGTGAACTGTTGCCTGATCCTACTCACTATAGAAGATTGATTGGAAAACTGAATTTCCTGCAACACACTCGACCTGATATATCATTTTCTGTACAGTATCTCAGTCAATTCTTAAATGCTCCTAGAGCTGGTCAATTATATTCTGCCTTACATGTCTTGAGGTACTTGGTTAAGGACCCTGATAAGGGCATTTTGCTGAACAATAATCTGAATCTTTCCTTGCTTGCTTACTCTGATTCTGATTGGGTTGCATGCCCCTCTTCAAGGATGTCTATTACTGGGTTCTTCATTACTTTGGATGGTAGTCCTATTTCTTGGAAGTCCAAGAAGCAGCCCACTGTTTCCTTATCTTCTGTTGAAGCTGAATATAGAGCTTTGAGAAAAACTGTTGTTGAGATTGCCTGGCTAGTCAGACTGTTGAGAGACTTAGTTGTTTCTATCACTGATCATGTTCTTGTCCACTGTGACAACCAGGCTGCTATAAGCATTGCTCGCAATTCTGTCTCTCATGAACGTACTAAACACATTGATCTAGATTGCCACTTTGTCAGGGAGCAACTTGCAGCTGGCTTTATCTCTCTTCAGTACATTCCCACTGCCTCTCAGCTGGCTGACATCCTGACCAAAACTCTTT